GAATCTAAGTGCTAAACTTGCCAGGCATCTCTCACGGTGTCGTTTGGTTTTCCGGCCCCGAACCTCTCTTCTCCACCCCTGGCCTCTCCCTGTCTCCTCTGCTCCAGCCACGTAAGCCTCCCTCCCCCTGCCCACCATCTACAGTCAAAGGCGGTGGGGGCTCCTACTCTATTCACAGCCTGATTTTCTGCTGGGATCAGCCAGCCTGCAGCCTGCCTCCACTCCAGGACTGTGTTCTCACTGATAGCATCAGACAGCCCGAGGACCCCTGCCCAATTTAGGACAGGGCCACTCACACAAGCAAAGTGAAAGTCGCTCAGTCATGTCTGGCTCTTTGCGACCCCATGCACTTCTCCAGGCCAGAACACTGGAGTGGGTAGCCATTCCCTTCTCCAGGGGCTCTTCCCAACCCAGGGATCGAATCCAGGTCTCCCGCGTTGCAGGCAGATTCTCTACCAGCTGAGCCACAAGGGAAGCCCCCACATAAGCAAAAGGAGAACAAAACAGTGATGGGCAAAAATCCATGCTGGAAGGAAGACAGAAATGTATAGGTTATTGAATAAAGGAGGAAAATAAGTTTTTTGTTCCTTTATTCACAGCACTCATCTGCTCTGTTAAGACACCAGTCTTGGCATCATTTCTATGTGAGACACTTTTAATCGCCCCTGGTCAACAGCTGCCAGAAGATCTCGAGGGCACCTGCCATGGATGACTGGGTAAATTTGGGGGTTGCTGTAGGAGGTCACTGGGTACATCCTCCTTTTTTAGCAGTTTCATACACAACCACTTCAGAGAGACGAGATTTCTCTCATTATTAAAGAGACCACTTCAGAAGAACAGGCTAGCATCTGATTGAATAGACTGTCCTGATGACTAAATACTAAATCCCTCGGGGCCAGGAAGTTCTCTCCGGTGTCTAACTTAAATCCTTCACGCTGTACTTCAGATCCTTGCTTCTCTTATTCAGACCCAGAAAAAAAGGAGCCCAATGAGGGTGACACCCTTGTCCTGACAAGGCTATTCCCCTGACACCTCTTTCCCATATCTTTTTTAATTCAGGAGCTCACCTTGGCACACACTCCTACGGCAGCTCGGCAACACTGATGGAAGTCTTGAGGTACAAAACCATTCCTCTGCTTATGTCTGAGAACGACCCTCCACCAGTGAGACGCTTCTCCCCATCTTAAGGGGCCGGTTTCTGCTGTTTCCCAACAGCTTGTTCAATACTCTCGTCTGTTCTCCTGGTTGAGGTCAGACTTGCCTAGAACTGGGAGTGAGGACTCTGAGTTTTTCAAAAGCATCCTTTGGGTTTTTTTTCCCCTAAAACAGACACCTGGTGGTCTATTATCACCAAAGCCTTTCGCACATTTTACCATCTTTTACTCTCTCACCACTTCTTGACGTTCCCACTGGAGGAGCCAGCACTCCCAACTTGATCTTGGGTCTAGGAGTGGCCGGCACCTCGGTCTCTCTCTTGCTCTTGCCCTCTCCTAACGGCTTCCTCCCCGTCTTCTTGGCTTGGTTTTCAGCTTGCCTATTCTCTGGATCACTTTTGTTTTAATTGATAAATTCCTCTTCTATTCCTGGTTCTGCAAATCCTCTACCTTCTCTTTCCTTCTCTCCAGGGAGGCGACAACAGACTCCTTTAAAAACCTTTAAGAGACCTTATTCTGCCTCTGGCTGTATTTTCACTTTGTGTCTTTGCTGTTCTGGCTTCAGCAAAGCCTGTGTCCGTGTTTTCAGTTAACCCTGGAGACTACCCCGTGAGCCGAGCGGAGTTCCGTCGCTCTGGCCGGTCTGAAATGAGGGCGCCGGCTCGGAGGTAAGAATCTGGCGGGGAGGGGCCCGACTCCACCCTTCCTCGCCCAGGTGCAGGGTCTCCAGGGCCAGCCTCGCCCGGCCCCGCTGGGGCGCCTTCCCCAGGCCCGCCGCGGCTGCAGGGTAGGGAGGAGCCCTGCGCTGGGCGGGGCCGCTTACGGAGGGGCCCTGCTTCCGGCTGTGGGTCCCAGGCCCGGGTTCTTTGCCTTCTTCCCAGTGTGCTGACGAAATACGCCTTCAAGTGCATTTCCTCTTCTTTCAGCTACTAATCCCTTCATCTTTTAAAGTCCTAATGCTATCAAGGGCTTCCCTCGTGGCTCAGTGGGTAAACAATCTGCCTGCAATGCCAGAGACCTGGGTTCAAACCCTGGGTTGGGAAGATTCCCCTGGAGAAGGAAATGGCCACACGCTCCAGTATTCCTGCCTGGAGAATGCCCTGGACAGAGGCGCCTGGCGGGCTAGAGTCCATGCGGTTGCAAGAATCGGGCACGACTGAACGACCAAACCACCAGCACCGCAATGCTCTCAGTGCTGCCCAGGCAGCCTTCACTGCCCCCGAGCTGGCTGACCCCCTTCAGCAGAAAGCAGCCAGAAAGCAGCGTTCCTAGGCTCAGCGCCGAGTGTGCAGGGGGCCCATTTCCTTGCTGCTTTTGTGTGCTCCCTGGTCTCCGGGGCTTCCCTGCCTCGCTCACCTGTCTCCACAAACCCCCCAGCCCCTCCCGCCATCTGTGCTTCTGCCCTTTCTGCTTTCCCAGGAGTGACCCATCAGCCCTCTGTCCCCTGCACCCTCTTCCAACCGCTTTCCCTGCCTGTCCACGGGGCAGCTGCCATTTACAAGCCAAGGAGAGATGGTTCTCAGGTGTTTGAAGTCTTCCAACTCTAACGCTCAGCTGGTAGAAATCTGATGCTGAAAGGAGTGAGCGAGTGTGGTGTCGCAGGGCGGTGGGGAGGCGCAGAGAAGAGCCTGCAGATCTCAGACCACCCCGCCCCTGCCCCTCACCTGTCTGCTCCAAGACCGCGTCCCACCCAGAGAATGCAGCCTGGGAGCCAGGGGCCAGGGCAGAGCTCCCACAGCCTGAAGTTCATGCGAGGAGGTACATTTAGGCTGTGCGGGCATTTATGACAAGAGCTTGCCTGCCTGCACCAGGAGGGCTGTTCTTCACTCTCCAGGAACCAGCCCGACTTTCAGTTCTCCACTGGACGCCCCAGGTGACCATGGCTGTCAGCTGCCGGGATTTCAGGGCCTGGGGGCGTCTCCCCAGTTTCTCCATAGTGACCCCAGAGTCCTAACCCTGGTGTCTGCGCTCTCCACTCATTTATTTTTATTTTTTTTTTTTGAGACAGCACAGTAGCTCAGTTTTATTTTCTGCAGTTAACAATCATCAAACAAACTATGTGGACCCTGAGCCCCCAAACAGTACCACAGACACAATTTCAGATCTGCTCAAACTACTTCAAGAAAGCAATGCTCTAGAGAAGGACACTTAATGCTAGGGCATATAGACAAGGTTTAAGGCCCTCTCCCGTGCTGAGACTAAGCAAAAAGGGGATGCACAAAGCGATGCAAGGCCCACATCAGCAGGTACAGCTGCTCCAGATAGAAGGCCACAGCCATCTGGAACAGGTCATGGTCTTCAGCAGTCAATCGGAGAACCAACATGCGGCCATTAACATAGAGCTCCCTCTGAACCGGCCATTGCAGTTCTCCACTCATTTAAATGGTTAGCCTGTGCCTATCCACATAATTTCTTCTGCTTGTCAGTCCCTGAGGTTTTCTAAGTCTTTATCATGTATACACACCCTCAATATCCTAATGTTTTTATTTAAGTTTGATCTTTTAATTTATGTAAATGTGTCTTGAAAGGAAACTGCAGCAGTACAAGTGAATGACAAACCAGTATCTCTTGCAATAAACAGAAGACAATCTTAAACACAAATACATCAATTACAACAAGGCATGCTCTTCCGTGTCCTAGCTTTGGGAAACCCCGAAAGGATGTGTGTAGAAAGAGTGCACACTCTTCCCCATCTACTTGCCCACATACAGTAGCCACTATCTAACAGGGAAAAGGAATTCAGAAATGTCCTTGTTTTCTTGGTCCATTTACGTCAAAAGACTTTAGCCACTATCCCCGTTTGTTCAGCTAACTATATAGCTAAATTAAAAAAAAAAAATACACCCAGAGCCTATCTGGTTTCCAAGGCACATGAAAACACACAAAATACATTTCTGTTATCACATCAGGATGTCCTACAGGAAAATAACTTGTGAGTTTCAGGACTTTAGACAAGTGCCCTCCTTGGCTGTGGGTCTTACAAGCTGATCTCTCCTGCCTGTCTGATCTCATTGCCACCTATGCACCCTTCATGACTCTCTTTGCTGCAAATAAGGGGCTCTCAACTTCACAGTTTTTTCTTTATCAAATGCAAAAGAAAATAGATATTCCAAGGAACTGCTGACTCACTAGCTGATGAGAATAGGGTATACTGGAATAGACACCAGTCTTTAGTCAGAAATGGTGTCTGCTTCTGACTCTGCTCTGTGACCCCGGCTAATTCCCTGAACTACTCTGGGTCTCCGTTCTAGAGAGGGTGGACTCAGACTTCTCACCATGGACTCCGCAGCCTGGGCAGGCCCCCCAGGGAAGCGACAGCAAATACCTCCACACCCACTCTTCTGCGGACAAGGTATGTGAATGTCTGCTAACGGAGATTATGTATTTTTCATTTTTAACATCGAAATGTTTTATTTATCCAATTTTCTACTTTCACTTAAACTGGACGCTAGAGAAACAGAGAGGAGAGGGATAACAGAAGGGCCGGGTTCGGCTCCTTCTACATCAAAGCTGTGAAAATAAACAGGAAGATGCGTCTCCCGTCTACGAGGACGTCGTACACTGCACACTGCTGCAGTGCTCCGAGCACAGGGGGCCAGTGACGTGCCCGCCTTCGGGGGTGCTCTTCAGCTCGGCCATGCTGCACCCCACGTGGGGCTGGGTGCTCACACCACGGGGCCCCGCTCTGCACGCGTGCTCCCTTCCCGGGGGGGGGGGTACCGAGGGGAAGCCACGGGTGACGGGATTCACACACGCTCATCGTGGTCTTTGGAAGGACGTAGAGAGAGACGAGGGCGCTGGAGGCCTCGAGATGGCCTGGGAGTGAGAGGCGGGCGGCCCACTTACCCAGTCCGCGCTCGCTCTTGGAGCTCTGCTGGCCCCCAGACGTGGTGGAGAGGTCTTCAGGGACAGGCATGGGTTCATCGCTGTCATCTGGGGTGTCACTCACCGGTGGGCTCTCCTTCCCTGAGGACATAAGCAAGAGCTGGAGTTTCTGGGGACGTGGTCACCCCTGAGAGTCGGGGTCACTGCAACCAGCCAGCGACATGGCTTGGCTTCGAGTTATGGACCAAGTTCATGCTTCTCTGTTGGGATTAGAACCTGCTTTCCTGTTTATAAAAGAATATCATTGCCACACCAAAACATGAGACAACGGAGATGTGAAAAATGCATAAATCACCTGGAGAGCACCGCTGTTAAAACTGCGGTGTGTGTGTTTATACACACACATGGACACTTATATACTATGGATAATATGTGGTGACATATCTTCTTGATCAAAATAAACTAGTTTTAGACATTCTCATGGCCTTGCTCCCATGACTTTTATCTGTGATGTCTGTATAACACTTCACTGCACGGGCACAGTAGGATTTAAATCCCTTTTCTGCTTTTGAACCTAGATTGTGTTCAATCTTTTTTTTTTTTTTTTAATGAAACAACACAGTGGTAAAGCTCCTAACAGCTAGCCTTTGCCCATGGTCTTAAAAAGCACCACGGTATAAACCCTGGGGAGTTTTATGACCCGGTCAAAAGGCATGCACGTTTTTAAGAGTCTTCACATGTCAGGCCAAATTTCACCTGTATGTTTGTTCCACCTTACCCTCCGACAAGCCTATTCACCACAGCTCTGTATTAAGGTCACCAGACTGGGCATCCTGCTCACAGCAACACATTCTGGGCCTGTTCACTTTCCAGAGCCAGAGAATATTTAGCCAGCTTCCCAGTTTGATTAACTCAGTAGAGTCAGAAAACTTGGAAGAAGGATGGACAAGGAATTCACACAACTCCCAGCCCATGTGCACACTGAGTCTTCTACTAGGAATTCTTAGCTTCAAAATATTAAAACAAAACAGAACCCACGCAACTCCAGAAGTCCCTTCACAAAGTAGGACTGACCTATGAGATAGGGTTTTACCGGATGCCTGAATCTAGTAAGTTTCACCAGAAGCTCCAGAAATGGGAAACTCACTCCCACTCCTAGAATTTCAACACTGGGAAGCCAAGATGGGGGGAAATTGCTCCCTTTCTTTGAAATTGAAACCCTTGTACCTTCTAACATAGATGTAACCTAAAATTGGGTCAGGAGACAATAAACCCAGGCAGGGAAGAGCTAGTGAGGCCCCCAGCAGATGCAGAATAGCCCCTGAGTGCTGCTGAGGCATGAGGAGCATCAAAGAAGGCTAGTGGGAAAGGGACTGATGGGGATTGTGTGCTGCTGGCTGGGCTGCAAGCTGGCTTCGCAGACAAAGCATATTCCCACACAGAAGCCCAGGCCTGCAGGAAAGTGTACCCATGATGAAGAAAGCATGTCTGGGAGACAGGGCAAGGCAGAGTGGGAAACTGTACTACATGTTTGCATAAACCACCTCAAAGACCAACACAATTCTTCGGGGGACAGGCAGGTGCAGTGGGAGCATTCCCGACACAGGAGATGACCCTTCGGGGAATAAAACAGAAACTGCCAGGCACCATGGCTTCGGGGAGAGTATAGCATTCTCCAGCAAACAGACATCACAGTTTAATATCCCAGCTTAGCTGAAATTACCTCAACTGGCATATTTTCAGAAAGAGCATTATTGGATATATTTGGATAGTCAATACAAGACGTAGAGTTAGAGAGGGGGCAGCATGGTAAGAATTTCCCAAGGAAAAACCAAAAGCCAGAGGGAAACTGATCGAAGTTCTCGTGTTACACTAAATGTGCATGACATCAGTAATAATTTCATTGCCCTAAATAGACGACTTTAAAAGGAGCAACAGCTGAAGACTCAGTGCTACTTTTCACCTACTTCACAAATGGAAAGAGCCCTGAATAGGAGTCTGCAGGAGGCCTATGAACCACCTGATGACTCTGTTTTTCCTTCTGATTTCCTAAAGTAATCATCTTCAAATCTTGAGGACTTTAGGGAGGTGGTCAGAGGACTCTTAATTTGTTTTCTTTTTAGGTAAGAATAATCTTTTTAAAATTATTGACGTATTACTAGTTCGGTCGCTCAGTTGTGTCTGACTCTTTGCGACCCCATGGACTGCAGCACACCAGGCCTCCCTGTCCATCACCAACTCCAGGAGTTTACTCAAACTCATGTCCATCGTGTCAGTGATGCCATCCAACCATCTCATCCTCTGTTGTCCCTTTCTCCTCCCGCCTTCAATCTTTCCCAGCATCAGGGTCTTTTCAAATGAGTGATTCTTCACATCAGGTGGCCAAAGTATTAGAGCTTCAGCATCAGTCCTTCCAGTGCATATTCATGGTTGATTTCCTTTAGGGTTGACTGGTTGGATCTCCTTGCAGTCCAAGGGACTCTCAAGAGTCTTCTCCAACATCACAGTTCAAAAGCATCAATTCTTCAGCACTCAGCTTTCTTTATAGTCCAACTCTCACATCCATACTACTGGTTTTTCCATGACTACTGGAAAAACCATAGCTTTGACTAGATAGACCTTTGTTGGTAAGGTAATGCCTCTGATTTTTAATATTGACATACTGAATTATATTGACATTTAAAATTAATTAAATTATTTAATATATAATTGAGTAATTGTATTGGCATTTAATATTAATATTAAATAATACTGACATTAATATTGACATATAGTTGATTTATAATATTGTATTCATTTCAGATGTGCAGCAAAGTGATTCACTTATACACACACACACACACACACACACACACATTCTTTTACAAGTTCCTCTTCATTATCGGTTATTACAAGGTACTGAGTATAGTTCTCCATGCTATACAGTAGGGTCTTGTTGTTTATCCATTTTATATACAGTGGCATGTACCTGTTCATCACAAACTCCTAATTTATCCCCACTTTTGGTAACTATGGGTCTCCCAGGTGGTTCAGTGGTGAAGAATCTGCCTGCCAATGCAGGAGATACGGGTTTGATCCCTGGGTCAGGAAGATCCCCTGGAGAAGGAAATGGCAACCCACTCCAGTACTCTTGCCTGGGAAATCTCAGGGGCAGCGGAGCCTGGCCGGCTACTGTCCATGGGGTTGCAGAGAGTCGAACATGACTTAGCGACCAAACAACAACAACACTTGGTGACCATAAGTCTGTTTTCTCTGTCTGTAGGTCTGTTTCTATCTTGTAAATAAGTTCATTTGTATCATTTTTTTTATATTATACATATAAGTTATATCATATGATATTTATCTTCTCTGTCTGACTTCACTTCGGATGAAAATCTCTAGTTCTTACACAGAACTTTAATACATGAAACCTGTCTCCTAGGTAAAGTGGGGACACTGCAGGGTAAGGAGGCTGAAATGTCAGAGACCCAGACCACTTGCTTCTGTGAAGACCACCAGGGAGCTCCCACAGAACTGACTCTGGGGACCCCAGCTTAACAAAGTGACAGGATCCTGAAAGATGCACAGTGAGGGGTATGCATGCACACCTTTCTGATTAACCAGCTGCCATGGTGACAGGTGGAAGCAGAAGGTTGAGAAACTAAACGACATTCCTGTATTTTTTTTCTTATTTTTTTATTCTGGGCTTCCTGAGGATAACTTTGGAGAACTCTGGGATCGATCTAGACAGTCAGGTATGCAGGACCCTTGGGAGGGTCATAAAGAATTGGGACTTTTCCAGTGAAGGGCTGTCATCTCTCTGCTCAGTTCATGTGAAAATGCATCCAAGTCACTTTTCTTCAAATTTATCTGTTCCGTCTATTGGGAACAAGACCAACTAGAACTTGGTGAGATACCAGATGTGCTTCTGTCTGTCTGGTCCCCTGTGCTGAGCTACAGGCCAGCATCTCAGCACTTTTCGCTGCTTCATTCACGATGCAGAAAAAGGAATAATGGAAACAGTATGGACCATGGTTGTAAATACCCTGGGGTCAGGTCGATCAGTAGGAGCTCCCTGTGAAGATATGAGAGAATAAAGCGTAGCCCTGGCGTGTGCAGTGGAATCAGGTAAAAAGTCAGGACTGTAAGAGAGTGAGTGAGACGGCCACCCACGTGCCTGCTGGAACACAGCCTTGCCTTGCCGCCACTGTGACAGTTCCTAAGAGCTCATCTGATTTGCCTAAAAGCCCCCACATTTGAGCAGTGGCTGCTGAGTCGTCAATCACTGGCTTAAGCCTCTGGACTCAGCAACCCTGGGATCCTCTGCCTGCTGGAGATGTCCACAGAAACCTCCATCACTGTGTCAAAGTCCTCACGAGGAGCAAACATATCTCTGTGGGTTGATTTTAGGATTATTTAGAGTATGGCATCACCAACTCAATGGACATGAACTTGAGCAAACTCCGGGAGATGGTGAAGAACAGGGCAGCCTGGCATGCTGCGGTCCACGGGGTCACAAAGAGTCGGGCATGACGTAGCGACCGAACAGCAACAAGACCTATTTAGACCTACCCAGTTCACCATTTAAAATGCAAAGCCATGAAAAGATGATAAACAATAAGAAAATTAAGTTATTAAAGCAAGTCAGTGCACAGAGGATATCAGCACACCGTGACTGGAAATCAGTTGACCCAGGGTACAGCTCCGGTTTGACCAACAATAAGACAGATTCCACAGCCACTCACCTTTTTTACACTCTTTCTGCAGGAGTAAAATGAGGTTAAAGAACATGATTTTGCCTTAGCTTAAAAGGTTGTTGTGAGAATAAAATAACGATGAGGGTGGAATCTAATATGCTAGATAAGTTCATGGTGTTATTTTGTAAACTACAACACCCTCTAGAAACAGGTATGCACAGCAGCAAGTGCCCATATGTCCAAGGGCATGGATAGCGTCCCACAAACATAAAGAACTGCAGACAGCAAGCAAGCAAGGCTTTAAAGGAAGGACTTAGGAGGTGTGATGTCATTTTACTTAGAAAAATGAAAGAAAGTTCTCACCAATTTCTGTTTAATCAACTTACTATGTTTCAAATAAAGCTTTGCCTATGAGAAGTGTTCTGGGAATTAGATGAGAAAATTGTTTAATTAGCTTATCAACAGGAAGTAAATAATTCCTCAAGTAAATTATATTTCAACCAACGAAGTTCAGTGGTTCCTCATGTCCCTGCTGCATGAGTTTGTACTGTGTACAATTACGCAGGAAGACACAATTTCTGGGGGGTAAATAAAACTCAGAATATAGACTGTCCACTCTACAGAACAGTGGGGAAGCTCCTACCCAACACCAGGTCTGGCTTTCATGGGACTTCTGATTGGTTATTGAAACGCTCTGAGTCTCAGGTCCCTGAGAATTGAAGATGCTGCCTGTATCTTCCTCACTGGGGACTTATAAAGTTGAAATGAGAAAAAATGCTTACGGTGGTGTTTGATAAATTTAAAGCATTCAATCAGTGTGATTTACTATGATCGACATTTGCACTGAAATGTCGATATGAGTGAGCCTCGTTTCCCAGGCAGAGGATGGATGTCTATAGAGCATATTTGTTGTTTCTCTGTTTCAACAAACATTATAGATGACCAGTAAGAAAACATTCAGTAGGGCCCCAGGAGCCTGAACATCACATAAGCTCAATTGGTTCCAGTCCCCCATTTTGCAGAGGCCACACAGTGGTCCATGAGGCAAGGAGCACTGTCTCAGGTCCCAGAGATGGAGGCGGAGATGAGATGCTGATACAGGCCTCACAATTCCTGTTCCTCCACAGGCTGACTCTTCCCTTAGAGACCAAAACAAACAATAATTCACAGTACATAACCAGTAATTTAGAATGAGTGCCAAAAAAGAGAGAAAGAACAAACAAACAAAAAACTCAACAAAAGAATGAATGAGATGGGCCCTAAAGGACAGGACGGACTGCTTTAGACAGACTTTCCTCCAGACCCGTTCAAAGACATTCCCAGCCCTACAAGATGTGAGAGGGCGCATATTTATCAAGTGGTTTTCGTCTAGAAGACACTATAAACCAGGGTTCAGTCCATATCCAGGATAAATTCCAGGGAAGAAAAAGCCAGGTAGTTTGGAAAAAAAGTTAAGATACTAAGTATTTGTCTGTTTTTCAGGAGAGTATTTCACACAGATTAGGGGGACTCCTATGAAATTGCTGACATCGGAACTTTTTTTTAATCTATGAAAATAGCAATTTCATAGGGTTTGACTTAAATCTGCTTTTCTTTTTTTAGGAACAGGACACAACAAGGAATAGTTTCATGGGAAAAGGGGATGATTCAGAACATATTCCTCATATTTTACATCAAGAACATCAACTTCTGTTTTGCTAAATGCACATCCTCATAATACAACTACCTACCACTTCCCTCCATTTTAGAAAAGAAAAAGGAAAACTGCTATGACTGGATGTTTATTGCAAAAACAGCAAAACACAGAAAAAGTATTCTTCAAATCTTTAGTGAAAATGGCACAACTCTTTAAATGCCCTAATCTCTGTTTAGAACAGTCCAGGTTTAACATAAACCAAAGGAATAATTGTGTAAAGGACTGGAAGCACCATTTCCTTTGCTAGGAGTATACAAAATTAAATTTTAGAACAAATCTTGAATCTTTTTCAGGCCAACTTTCACTCTCATCTCCACTCCCTGACACCTTTGTCTTCAAAGAGCCACTGTTCAAACTGAGTGTTTCACATAATGTTAAGGGCAAAAGGAATAGAAGAAAATGAGACTTTTGTTATGGTTGTTACCAACACAGGGGATCAGAGTACTGACCGACTGTTCCTCCTACTAAACTTTCTAGAGAGGCCAGCCCAGCGTCGGGCTTTCGGCTTTGTCTCTGGGACAACAGTCTGCTTGGATCCTCAGTGTATCATGTAAAACGTCACTCTAGAAGCCGCCTAAGAGGAAAGCAGCGAGCAGACGCAGAGGACCAGAGACAACGAAGGGGCCTCTTTGCACCTTCTGGGACATTTAACATCAAGCATTTCTGACCCTCTTATCGCCTCCAGCCGTGGTCTACAATCTGGGGATGGGACCCCGCTTCCTCTGGCAGGACCCATCTCTCCTTCAGCTCAGGCTTCATCTACCAGCTGCTACCACATCCTGGCCAAGCCAAAGGACAGGCTTCAAAGGGCCAAAGTTTTGTTTTTTAATAGTTTTATTGTTGTCATTGTACTCAGATTTCAGAACAAAGGTATGTGCTTGAGGGAAATGAATTCAAATAATACTGAAAGGGAGAAGATGAAAAACCAAAGTCCCCACTCTCTCCCCTAACCCATCCCTTCCTTCCACCCTCAATCTTTTAAGAGGAAGTACACATTTAAAATAATCACTCCAGAATGTTCCTAAAGGGATATACAGGCACATGGAAAGTGTGTGTGTGTGCACGCGCGCGTGTGTGATGTGTTTTCATTTTAAAGGATGGATTCACACTTTGCAAACCATCCTGAGACACCTTCTTCTCTTCTTTACATGCATCTTTGATGTCCTTCCACATGACTCTGTTCCTATGGTCCTGCTTGCTCAGCGCTGTATGAACAAGGGCGGGGAGGGAACAAAGTTCTCTAGTGTCAGCATCAGGCTGCAGGGAGCATCCCTGCAGACTGCCCATGCCCATGGGAGAGCGTGTCTGCACAGCTGAATCCTCCAACACAGCTTTACTTTTTACAGATATGGCCAAGTGTGCTGACTGATGTTCACGTCCACCAATGGCCCATCAAGTGCCTACAAGCCACAGCCAAAAAGCCAGGTGCTGGCCTTTACCTCACAGCCTGGAGAGTTCAATGCAGACTCTCTAAATGACAGGAGTGGTCTGCAGCAGGCCATCTTCAGGTTGAGGAACTCAAATCCCTGGTCCTGCATGTCTCCTAAGCAGGCAGGCAGGGCTGCAGCCATGGTCTCAGCCCTGGGCTCCGTCACCAGAATGGACAGAGGCCCAGGGCCAGAATTGAGTCATAACTCAGAAATCGGTGGAGGCAGGCTGGCCACTCCCAGAGAACCACATGGGCCATTCTAGTACAGAGGCTACCCAGGACTGACCATGGGCCTGAGACTGGAAAACTTAAAATACTGTGAACTCAACTGCTGCCAACATGTCCAAGTTCAGGGCTAGCCCCACGGGTATCCTAGGACCATGAGTATCGCGCTGGGCAGGTTTGGCTAGACCAGATGGAGGTCCACTCTCCCGGGCCTCACCGGGTGGGACAGTGTGATCGGGCTGTGGGCCTCATCTCCCAGGACCGTCCCCAGCCCTGGGTCTCCTGGGATGGTAAGAGCTGTGTCCAGTATGGCTCGACATAAACGCATGATGATGGGAAGTGGTGTCTCCACACTTAACAAGCGTTTGGAATTATGCCCCAAACTTTGTTTTCCAAGCTGCTTTCTCCTTTTTGCCCTCCCCCCTCCTCCCTCCCTCCCTCTTTCTTTCTCTTTTTAAACACGTTTGTTGGCCTGTGTCTGGGGTCTAGGGCAGGTCAATCTGTCCTTTTTTCTCCCCAAGAATATCAACATAGACTGTATCCTTTCCAAGTCACTTTTAGGTGTAACAGGAAAACTCGCTTTATCTTGGAGACTTTTCTATGCAGGCGGTCACATTTGGATAATCTCTAAGCACTGAAGTGAGACTCTGACTCCAAGTCCACCTTGGCCTCTCCTTTGGCAGCGCAGCCTTCTTCCTCGCCCACCATCCCAAGGGAGCCTTGGCTCTGCTACCCAGCAAAGACTGGACTCCCCATATAGGTATATCACCAGTTCTCACCTGAAACTTGGGACATGTCTTGACCCTCATCAGCGTCCATGGTCCTTGGATTATCTGAGAAAACAGAGGAAGCGATTTTAGTCGAAAGCAAATCACTCCCAAGATATGAGAGAGAAAGAGAGATAAAGAAGGCCCGAGCTATTTAACAACAAGGCTATCTACCAAGAATAATGCATTTTCCTCTTCACACACTCGCTGGAGTATCAGACTGGCACAGACCTTGATCCTTTTAAAAACGGCATTACAAAGATTTATAAAAATATCATTACAAGCACAGGAGGACCAAATTTGTTATTTATTGTTAATTTCCTACTGCATAATAACCCAAAATGCAAACTGACTGCAACAAAATTAAGCAGAAAATTAAATGGCCCTGGGTCATTGTAGGCACAGAATTCATTCTCTTGGCTGATCCATAGTTATGTTCTTTCTAATTTACTGAGCATGCATCGATGAACCTTGAGTCAGCTTGGTGACACGCGTACAATCAGCAATCAAAAAACGAAGCAATTTGCTGAAGAATGTCTCATTTACCCAGGCAGGGCTGCATAGCTGAGCAGCCGCGGCGCTCCCCCCATCAATAATAAATACACCTCCAGCCTGGCAGATGGGCCGCGCCGCCGCTGGCTTTGTCCCCCACTCTTTCAGGCCCCTGCCTCCGACTCCTCCAGACTCTGACGCGGGGAGAAGGCAAGCCCACAGCGGCTGCCTCAGCAGGCTCGGAGAGCGCCCAGACCTTGCTGAAAGGCTGACAGACAGCCGCCGGCTCCTCGGAGCCGTGGGAAAAAAGAAAGCCAGCCTTTGGAGCTGCCCGCGGGTGGTGGGGGGGACCACTCTGCCTGTGGCCACCACGAGCACCCCGGGGAGAGGCCACGTGGGCTGGGCAGGAGGGCGGGGTGGGCTGCCTTCCCACTCAGGGCACGGCCTCCACCTCTCAGGTCTCTCGGCCTGCCCCCCGCTCCCCGGCACGTGCATCTGGCGGCTCCGAGGATAAGAAAGCCGGGGGCCCAGCAGCAAGGGAGCGCCAAGGAGTCTGCTCATTCATGCTCTGCTGGACGACCGCAAGCGCACCTTCCCCGACCAGCCACCAGAGCCCGTGTGTTGACTTGAAATCAGGTCGCTTCTTTCTGGGGGACCCCCTCTGTCCCTCCAGTTCAGATGTGTGAGTGTGAGCTTTCAGGCCTGTTTCCAGCAGATGCCTGCACTGTTATGGACACTCAGGCAGCCTGACCCGCTCTGGGGGCCTGAGCAGACGAGGTGTGTGTGTGCACGCGCGCGCGTGTGTGTGTGTGTTTGTAAAAGCTATTGTGGTGCCTTTGGCATACATACTTTCAGGGTCAGTCATGCTGGTATTAGTCACAAAGAAGACATGGATGACCAGCCCTGGTTCTGGATGCAGACAGGTTTGCATCTCTTTCTGAAAGCCATGGCACTACTCTGGGTTGTGACATGAATTTCCAGGCCCAGTGTGGGCCTTAGGGGTATAGTTCATGACCACAGGAAGGCAAAAGGCTCCATGGCCCGCATGTGTTTCAGCCCCAAGACTAAGGGTCCACCAACAAGCAAGGCAGACAAACCAGCCCAAGAAGCAAACATGAGAGCAGACTGCGTGTATGCGCTCAGTCACTCCAATCACATCCCACTCTCTGTGACTTCATGGACGTAGCCCCCCACGCTCCTCTGTCCTTGGGATTCTCTGGCCAAGAATACTAGAGTGGGTTGCCATTTCCTTCTCCAGGGGATCTTCACTACCCAGGGATTGAACCCAGGTCTCTCACATTACAGGCAGACTCTTTACCAGTCTAGTGTTCAGTGTCGCCTAAAAGCAATGTGTTCAAAGTCTACAGGAAGTCCTTCTACAGGAAAAAAGGTAAAATACCTACGATTTTTCTGAAACTGTCCAAACAATTCTATTAATAAAGAAATAAGACTCAAAGGAGAAAAACCTTTGTGTTCACTCTGCAGCATTAATATGAGGTTCAAGTTTCTGAAGACAAATGTAGCATTTTATGGTGAAATATCACCAACTAGTTCTAAGGTATCCCTGGACTGATGGGGAAATGTATGGTAGACAGAAGGCTTCCCAGCTGGCTCAGTGGTAAAGAATCTGCCTGCCAATGCAGGAGGTGCAGGAGACACGGGTTCGACCCCTGGGTTGGGAAAATACTCTGGAAAGGGAAATGGCAACCTACTCCAGTATTCTTGCCTGGAAAATTCCTTGTACAGAGGAGCCTGGTGGACCCCAGTCCATGGGGTTGCTCAGACACGACCGAGCATGGACACACAGCAATACAGTGGACAGAATGTGAATCTTGCTGCAACAAACACTACCCTAAACTCCCAGTTTTCATCATGTTGACTTTGACCTTCTTTTTTCTATACAAGTGATACATATTTTACAACTTTTTAAATAAAGGCCAGTAAATGCCCATAATTGAGTTGGTAAGACCTGCTGGAGGAGGGCATGGCAACCCACTCCAGTACTCTTGCCTGGAGAATCCCATGGACAGAGGAGCCTGGAGGGCCACAGTCTACGGGGTTGCAAAGACTGGGACGTGATTGAGTGACTAACACACTTTTCCACTACTTAAGACTACTACATTTATTCTGTGTGTGTGTGTATACACAGAGGACTTTTTAGAAAAAGAGGACACTGAATGTACTACAAACAAACTGTTGTAAAATACTTTTTATGTAGCTTTTTAATTGACAAATGTGCATCGACATTCTCGTTTTAAAGTTCACACACTGTTTGGTGGCAGCGATTGATTTCATCAACACCCGACTGTATTTTCAAGTAATTTCTGATTAAACGGAAAAAATGTTTCCTAAAGCCCAGCTAGCTGATGGGTCCCCAGCCCAGTGCTGCCAGAGAAGGCACCCTCCAGCTGCGGCAAGGACCCTCCAGGATTCTTGTTGGGCAGGATCTATCCACACCGCACCACCCTTTGTGCATCAGTCCGTTCAGGTGGGGAGATGTGAGGACAGGTCACAAAGCAGCAAGAGGATGCTCTGGGCCTGTGGCGGAGGCCAGACCCGGCTCTGGTGTGCGGGCACCTGTGCCCATGTGTCCTGAGGGGGCAGAGCGTGGGCACCTCCCTGAACCCAGCCCTGCCTTGGCGCCCACTGGCAGTGGACAGTGGGTGCGGTAGACAGCAGACCCCGAGAGCAGAGGACCCAGGATCTGAGTTGCAGGCCTGTCTCCATTTCCTCTGAATGCCTGCACAGAGCTCCGTGAGCTCATCGGCCCCACTTAGCTTTCCAAGCAGCTCCTCAACCAAGCCGACATGGACCCCGTCAGCTGGCCTGTGGTCCGCACCAGGGCCGGGGCTGTACCTGGGGATCCCCGTTGCTTGGACGAATGCTCAGTTGTCACCATCTCTTTGAAATTCCTAAGAATTAGGGCACAGTCCATGGCAGTCCTGTGATTCCATGGCTTGTCTTTCTGACATCACGAGGTGGGGAGTGGGGTAGTTTGACAATTTCCCTCAAACTTCCTCAAGATCTAAATTTGCATCTCTTGGGACTAAAAAGTAATGAGGTGTTTTTTGTTTGTTTGTTTGTTTTTTTGGTAAAGGTGACTTTGCTCTTATGCAAAGACCAAGAAATAATCTGACAATGGAAAACTATCTGAAGGAGAGGAAATACCAGCCCCCACCCCAAGACCTAGTTGCCAAGGGGGGCTCGGGAGGTTGTCAAAGGGAACAGTGAGATAACCCCACCCCCAGGAACACCAACCAGGCTCTCTGTTTCTTTTCAGATATGTGGAAGCAGTGCCCAGTCTGGAGTGGAAAAGGGATTCAGGCCTGCTCTGATCTCAGTATAAAAGCTGGCAGTCAGGAAGAAGCGTTCATCCCCAGAGTGTCTTAACCCCACATTTTCACAAACCTGCACCTAAACCCAAACCAAGAACTGCAGGCCTGTCCAGGGAGGCACCAGAGGGAACACTTCTTTCACAGGAGCTCTGCCATTTTCTGCTCTGTATGGGAACCCCAGGGATCCGAGGTTGCAGCTCACATAGAAATGAGAGAACACAGCAGGTTCAGTAAATACCTGCCACTGGGTGGTTCTACAGACATGAATGCTTTTATTGTGTCTCCGGAGCGTGCAGTCCTGAATCTCGCACACGGGGAACCAGATGCAGAGATAAAGGACAGCCAGCGTGACAGGGCGGTCAAGGGCCGTCCCTCCAGGAGGCAGAGCAGGAGTCAGGATCCTCACTCGCCCCACTCCTGCTGGATGGGGTCCCTAAGCCAGGAGCCCCATCTCCCCCCAAGCCGCCACCCTCTCTGAAGTTGGCACGGGACAAGTCTGGAGAACGGGGGACAGTGGGGACCACACACAGAGGCTCATAGCACCTCTGCCCCCACGCAGCCAGGGCAAGTAGAGCTGGAGCCTCCCAGGGGACGGTGAAACCTTCGGGAAGCCCCCTCCTCGACCTCAGCTGCCTTTTGTCCTCCCCGCCCGTGGGAGCTGGAGCCTGGCTGCCTCCGAGGACAAGCATCCAACAGCCCTGGGCACTTGTGGCTTCTGGGCACGTCTCCAGGACAAGTGGCCCATTCCTACCCGCCCGAGAGCAAGCAGCCTGAACCACGGCTCAGCCAGAGCTGGGGACCCTGCGGGGGAGGCTGCTCCAGGGAAAGGCCAGGATGGTCCCCAGGCCCTCTTAGCCTCCTCACACCTCCTCTCTTCTTTTCTCTCTGATGGAAAACTCTCCTCGTAGCATTTGCTCTGAGACGACAGGACTTTCCCACAATCCAAGAAAGGTGAGTCTGGATTAATGAAGTCAGAAGTAAAAGCCAGATGCTTGTCAAGAACCCCAACTTGGTGACTTCCCAAACCACCGCGATTAAGGGCCGTTAAAGAGTTTAGTACATAGCCTGCCAAACGAGCCACAATGGACCACAGTCCCTCAAAGTCAGCCCATTTGCTGGTAGCACACAGTTCTTCTACAAACTTTTAAAAAGACCATTCCTTGGGGTTTAAACAGCATACATCATTTTTTCTTTTTTTGAGTTTCTGTCCATTTCTTGAGTACCT